TCCATTCATGATCAAAGTACGTTGGTAATAGCAGACATTTTATTTTAGCACACCTCGTATTTTAGAGTTCTTTTTCAAACATAAAATGAATCAAGTCCGCCATATAGATCATAAATATGATAAAATTATGTTTTATGCATCCTGCAATAGTGAAATCAGGTTCCCCACAATCTATTTCTGATGTTGGAATAGTATTTCCAAATTTAGTAAATGATAGTGAATTACAAGGTCTGGACACAGAATGACGTCTGTTGCGAAATGTTGAAGAAATTAAAAAAATTTCTGGAAATATTTTAGAGTTTCGGAGCCAAGTACAAATATTGAAATATGGAGCTGGTACATTCGTGTTTCCAATTCTATTTGTAAGCTACTTATTCTATCTCACTTATCAGCCAAGTTGAACGGAAATTTTCACAGGTTAATCTCATGATACAATGAATACATTCATGTATTCATGTATTAATTGTATCATGGGTTAATCTAATGAAAACTAAGTTGAGAAATAAGCTAAAAACAAGTACAATTTCATATTTACTTCTTTACTGACTCATGTTTATTTTAGTATTCCTGTAAGTTTAAGCAAAAATGAGTCTACCGATTTTCTACCGAAAAGTCTCGAGCTTATCTACCTACACTCGATTTTCGGACCTGGCAACCCAACGAAAACAAAACCTCGTTTTTATCTATAAGAAAACCCTCAATTTCAAAGGTTATGTTTTGTAGTTAAACTAGTTTAAGAACTTAATCCTCGGAGGGTGGCGGATTAAAGTTAAACGCGTTTAAGGTGAAAACAGTCGACGGTGCATACCGTTTATGATTTTTAAACCGGTTTAAGGCTTAATCGCGATTAAAGTATGTCGGTGCATACGGGCATAAGTAGAGATTTAGGGATATTTCGTTCAAAGCATCGGTCTCAGATAATAAAGGTGACTCTGGGATCTGTGGCATCGAGCTTTAACGGTTTACTGTTCGTTAAAGTTCGCGGATGTTGTGTCGAAAATGGAAAAGTTTATCCAAAAGAAAAGGTCGAGATCCATCAATTTGAATTCAAAGGAAAAAGATGTTTTATTTTCCCTTGCTTGGAAATACAAGCATGTAATATAAAATAAAAAAAAACAGACCACGTGTCTGGCCGGGAAAAGGCGGAAGCTTGGGGAAGAATCACGGACGAATTCAATGCACAATCTCCAAATCTGTGCACCAGAAGTGTCGAGTCTTTAAAAAAATACTATGACAACAAAAAGAAAGAAGTCCGAAAAGATATTGCCGAAGAAAGGAAAGACATTTTTATGACCGGCGGAGGTGCTGCAAAAATCAAAGAGGATCAACATCGGAGTCTTATGCTGAGCATTATAAATAAAAAATATATGTTCGGATTGCAGAATTCTGTTGATTCCGACAAAATAATGTTTGCAGAAACTCTGCCAGGAACATCGCTACTGGGAGATGTAATGGTGGAACATCAGGTCGACGGAGACAACTATTCCGAACGGAGTACTGCCCTACCTGCCGTGGGTAAGTATATAATCAGCCCTGTGCTGTATCACTCACGTTAACTTTAACGTGCGTGTGATCCGTCAAACACGTTATGTGGCTCCAACTGGTGTGTTGTATCAGTAAAACCTTTATATTATAACAGGCGCACGCTATAGACGAACGTTATATTAAGAAATAGCGCTTCAGAATAACAGCATCAAATCACATGCCGCTATCGAACTTAACGTGCGTCCCTCGAAGTTAAGGAAGCGTCCCTCGAAGCTCGGAGGAATAAATTAAACAATT